GGCGGGAGACTGGGAAAGAGAAATGGAGCCCTAGAGTCTGAGCGTCTGACATCAAGGTGTCACTCGTTGATCTGTTTTGTCCAGCTCTCAGCTACGGGATAGTGTAGGCCCGAGGTTCTCAACCTGTGGGTCGCGACCCCTTTGGGGATCAAATGACCCTTTTACAGGGGTCGCCCGATTCATCACAGTAGCAAAATGGCAGTGAAGAAGTAGCAACGAAAATAATTTGATGGTTGGGGGGCGGGGGCTACCACCACATGTGGAACTGTATGAAAGGGTCACAGCATAAGGTAGGTGGGGAACCCCTGCGCTAGGCAGTCCTTGACTTGCCAGGCGAGACAAAAATCTTCGTGTCTAGAAATCATCCCCTCTTTGATAAGGACTCAAATCTAATCTGATCAAATGAGGTTAAAACCCGCCCTTCTTCAGTGTGATTGCAAGTTAACCCAACATCCGTGTCCAAACAGTGACAATGACAGGAACCATGGTTAGGACTTCAGTGGCTCTTTCTTGGGGGATCCGATAGTAACCATTGACCTTCTCTCCTCACCCACCCCCCACAAAGATATGTTATCCTGTTTATGTTCCCATTCAACAAGTTAGTTCCACACAAATTGGGCAGTGACATTGGCTCCAGCCTTGCCCAGGCGTGAGCATGCTCCTCCTTTCCCTTCCGCTCGCCCTAGTTCCACTTAGCTAGTGCCCGGCCCTTCCCGGCTGCCTTCGCTTTAATGTGACTGCTGATCTTGGCGTCTGGTGCACAGGCTTTGCCCACGGAGCCCGGTCCTCACTGGTGATATTCGGTCTCGTGAGCCAACTTGTTATTGGCTGTGGCACTCTCCTTTCTTAGTCCATTGGAGTTTGGGGACTATGATTAAGGTGAGATGCGCCACATCAGTCTGTTTAGCTCTCAGTGCACTTAAAATCCAAACCCAGCACTCAGAACGAAGGACCAGGGCTGGGAACAGGGCACCCACAATAAGGTGCTGCTAGCCTCCCCTTCGAGGAGCCCTGGGGGCGTCGTGGGGGATGCTTTGGGCTGTCAACCCCAAGGCCAACAGTTTGAAACCGTCAGCCACTCTGCTGGAGAAAGATGAGGCTTTGTACACCCGGAAAGAGTTACAGTCTCAGAAACCCACAAGGCCAGTTCTCCTCTGTCCTGTAGGTCACAGGGCGTCGGAACCGATGTGAAGGCAGCGATTTTCTAGAGCTCCATCCTTGCTTTCTCCCACTCAGACCGGTCTGGGCCATCAGTCGTGCTGTGTCCTGAGCCTTATTCTTCGAACTGCTAGAAAATACCCACTGAAGGCATTGCTCTCATTCGGTCGCCGCGTGATGCTCCCTTTGCCTTTGTTTGCAGGTTTCTCCCCCTGCAGTTTGTGACACTCTCTGTGCACGATGTCAAGAATATGCGTCTCAAAGTTAAACTGGTGAGTGGCCGAGCCTACTACCTGCAGCTCTGCGCCCCCTCCTGTAAACAGGAAACTCTGTTTTGTCGGTGGGTGGAACTCGTCACCTTCCTCAATCAGGAGAAAAACAAAATTTCTAACGTGTCAGACGTTTCGAGCCTCTCAGAGATCACAAACAGCACGGGGATCACAGGCTCCCTGGACATCATGGACATCGGGGCCCTCCCGGCGCTGCAGGCCCCCTACGTGGATCCTGGCGTAGACCCCACCTGCGCCGTGGAGAGTGTGGATTTCTCCGAATTCACCGATGTCACCGACGTCACCGATGTCACCGATGTCCCTGAAAATGAGATTACAGAGGTCCCCGACGTAAGGATTGTCACCGAGGTCACCGACGTCACCGACGTCACCGATGACCCAAACTGCTCCGAGGTCACAGTGGTGTTTGAAAACGATGACATCCTACGGGCCAAGCAAGAGGAAAAAGTAAGTGATACGGGAGATTTTTATTTAATAATAAAAAAAGTATAGACTTTCTTTTCAGAGCAGTTTTGTGTCCAGAAAATCACACAGAAAATAATCCTGCCGAAATTATCCCCACCTGTGTACCTCTCTCCTGTACACCGTTTCCTCTGTTATTAGCATGTCACATTTCTTTAACATGTTTAGTCGGTGAACCAACAGGGATAATGTCTTAGCAAGCCCATGGATTGCATTAAATTCACTCTCTCTGTTTAGTATGTCAGGTTTGACAAATGCTAGCTATCATGTGTCCACCATTCCAGTCTCCGACAGAATGTGTCCACTGCCCCCACAATGCCCTGTGCCCCACCTGCGCGTCCCTCCCCATCTCCAAGCCCCTGAGGTCACTGGGCTTTTCACTCCCTGTGTTTCACCTTTTCTAGAATGTCCTGTACTCAGAATGGCAACGTGTGGGTTCTTCAGACTGACTGCTGAGCAGTTTGCATGGAGTTCCCGCATGTTTTCTTGTGTCTTGATAGCTCATTTCCTTTTCCTGCTAAATGAAAGCTCCATTGTCTTGATGTCCATGCACCTACTGAAGGACATCTTGGTTGCCTCCAGTGCTCGGTCTTTCCGTTCTTCTGTAATCAAGGACAAGAGTGATGGCCAAGCTCACTGCTCTTGGTTAGCTGACATGAAGTACCAAAAGGCCATTGGATCTACTCTGAGGGGCCTAATTGTAATATGAGGTTCAATCTCTGTAGACCTGACGTCGAGTAGTTGTAAGAAGTCCTGAAGAGGATGTGGATGTCCTTCCCATCAAGTTTTGCCCCAGCATCGGAAAGTCATGGTCGGGGGGTGGGGGTGGGGGGCAGAATACAACTTTGAAATCCGAGTTCGAAGGCCTGGGTTAGAATTTTACTCTGCTGTGTGATATCGAGCTATTCGCTGAGCCTCCATTTCCTCATCTCTAATGGAGATTGTTAATATAAAATGCAAGGCCTATTTTAATATTAAAATATATGTAAGTACCCAGTACCTTAAAAGATGACATTTCTGTAGGTAACAATGAGGTTGGATGTAGGAAAATAAAAACTGGGAAGAAATTAGTAACTTTTTTTTAAAAACCAGAAAGTAAAAAAACCACAGCCCTGTCAAAGGATGGGTCCTTCGTTTGAGCTGAAGCAAAAGAGACGTGGAGAATGCATTAGACTGTTGCACTGGGAACTTGCTCGCCGCCCTTGAGAGCCAAACTAAGGCATATGGACTTCACTCTTTGGCCAACCCTTTGTCACAAAAGACTTCTTTGTAAGGGAGTGAAGAAGGTGTGTTTTTAAAAGATCCATCTGATGACCATGTGGATTGTAGGTAAAGACTCCAAAATCCAAAAGCCAAACTGGCTGCCATGGAGTCAGTGCTGACTCGTAGTGACCCCTCTGGGTTTCCGAGACTATAGCTGTTTACAGGAGTAGAAAGCCCAGTGTTTCTCCTAAGGAGCTGCTACTGGTTTTAAACTGCCAGCCACTGTGGATCGCCATTGCCAAAGAGTCATTACTGTACCACCAGGCTCCTCTGAAAAATCACCAGTTGAGCCACAGTAGAAAAATGGTTAAGGGTAAGGGGAAATACTTCACAGAAAAAGAAACTATTAGTAAGTATAGTTTTTTTTTTAAAAAGTTTAACCAAATGAATGCATATTTAGAAAACATTTTTAATCATTGATAGTGTTTAAAAAAATCAATAGTAGTAAAGGTATGGTGAACGTGGAACTCAGAGAAATTCCAGATCAGGATGAGAATCAGGACATACTTTCTTGAGATCGCACTGAATCAAGAACCTTATTGCTTCCTACTCAGTGATTTCACTTCTAGCAGTCTTTCCTAAGGATTTCATCAGAAATAGGAGTGAAGATTGAGCTACAGAGATGTCCACTATGCCATGTTTAGAATCATGAAAGCAGAGGAGCAGCCCCCAAGCCCAACCCAGAGGACGGGCCAAACAACCCTCCCTTCACGAAGGACATCCCATGTTCATGTCATTGAGACCGACCACGGCCCGTGGAAAGGAAGCCTGGTGGTGCAAGGGATACATGTTAGGCTGCTACCAGCAAGGTCAGCAGTTCAAAGCCACCAGCCCTCTGAAGGAGAAAGACTAGGCTTTCCACTCCCATAAAGAATTACTCTTTCGGGCAGTTCTACCTGGCCCAGTAGAGACGATTCGAACTCAATAGCAGTGAGGTTTTGTGTTTTATTTTGTTTTACAGTGTTTAGAAAGACCATAAGCACTCATTAGAAATTTGCTCAGTGAATAAATAGCATGTACTTAGTCCATTTTTAAAGAGCTTAACTTAGGTGTTCCTGATATATGATTAAGTGGGAAATGAAGATTATCCCTATCATGTAAAAATGCATTCATATTACTGTTACACACACAATCCCACAATAACAGTGATCTACCAGTAGAGGCATGGATATACACCCAGAAGGAATGGATGTTGGAGGAAGAGTTGGGGGTATGTCCATGAGAATGTACCCGTTTGACAGAGAATGTGGGTGAGGAAATGGTGTGGGATCCACTTTGGGACCGCCTTCAGCTACACAAGGCAGACAGAGACTCCCCCTCCATATCTGCCTGAAGATGATTCAGATGTGGTAGAGGTCAGACATGTCTCCACCCTTTATCCTTTTTTATCCTATTCTGACACCAACTATCTCTCACAGGGCATTCTACTTTTCTGCTGGAATTGGTAATTCTTTGCAATGACCACACAGAACTCGCTGGCAATACCATTACAGGGGTTTAAGTGGTTCACTTTTATACCCAGTGAAGCCACAAAATGGACCAATCCCCAAGTTAGAATCCTCTACATTTTATTTGCATGCCCCAACCCATCATTGGGTGTTAATGGAAAAGACTATAGATAGAAGAGCCACACCCAGCAATTTCACTTACTCACAATGAGTGATTTGCACCTTTGTTGCAAATATATTCATGAAGGTGGTGAAGTATACGGAGAGAGCAAAGTCATGCAAACATCTTAGACATAACCACACACCATGAGGAATGAGTTGTTGGGCCTGGCCAGTCAGGACCCTGGTCTCCAAGGACACTGAAATCAATTGGCATAACACAATAAGAAAAGAAAAGGGAGGGGGAAATGCAGTTATACACACACAACAATAGAAGGGGAAAACCTGGTTTTGTTCATAATAGTTGTCTCTGGATGGTGATGTTATAGACAAGTCATGCTTTTGTCTTTGCACTTTTCTGTATATTCTGTTTCTTACAATAACTCAAAAAAAAAAGCCAAACTCACTGCCATCAAGTAGTCTTGACTCATAGTGATTCTATAGGACAGAGTCTCTGAGACTGAACTGTTCCAGTTGTAGAAAGCGTCATCTTTCACCCACAGAATAGCTGGTGGTTTCAAACTTCTGACCTTCTGGTTAGCAGCCCAATGCATATTCCAGTAGGCTCCAGGGTTCCTACAATAAAGGTAGTCAGTTTTTAATTAGAAAAAAATGGAGTCATTTCATATAATGCTTAACATAATGGAAATGCAAGGAGTATTTCAGGGAAAATGTCAGGAAGGCTTGCTGACCTGATTGAAAATCTGAGGGGGGCAGGGAGCAACCGGGAGAAATGGTACCTTAATATAAACTGGGATATTAAGAGGAAGGGAGACTTTTAACTGTTCCTTTTTAGGTATAAAAGTTTTTTGGGGGGAAACAAAACAAAACATCCACCACAAACAAACAAGAAACAAGTATGACTATGATTCCCCAACCCATCCACCTTAGTAAATGCTCTTGACCCAAGAGCAACCTCCGCTTGAGAAGAGATGACAAGGCATTTCTAAAAAACTGTCCTGACCCCCACCACTCAGAAAAGGAAGACACTGAGTACTGATTTCCCCATGGGAGAAGGCAGTGATGTACAGGACATGAGTTGGTGTTGTTTTACTTCATTTTATACCACAACAAAATAAGTGCTGTATTAATAGGATCTACAAGTAGAAGGTAGTGACATCATTCACATTCCTAAATTTGCGTAGCTGTTCTAACTGCCCTTCTCCCACCTTTCACCGCCCTTGACAGCGTCACTGACCCCTAAGCTCCTCGTCTCACCTTTCGAGATGCCGTTGTCGATGTGGTGCCACACGGATACATTTTTGAGAGAGCACAGTGCTCAAGGCAAACATAGTTTACGAATTAGGTGCAACTGCTGTTTGGTTCAAAGTTGACTACTGGGGCGGGGGCGGGGAGGACAATGGTTTAATGTTTAAAAATTATCTTGGGGCAGTGGTTTCAGGTGTTTTTCCAGCCTCAGTGGCTCCGGGAATAGCATGCATGTTTACTTAGTTGTGTCAGACGGCTGTGGGGCAAGGCCCTCAGCCCACCCTGAAAGCCGCTTTCCAAACAGCAGTCTCTGCTCAACTCAAGGGCCACACAGCCCCAGCCTCCCTCCACCATGATTATGCCAATGTGTTCCTGGGCACTCAGCAAAAAGGAGTGACATGAATGATCGCTGCATTAAAGACAGGTCCATCGAGGGTCTAATTGGGCATGAGGCTTTCTTTTCTATCACTTTACTTGCTGTTGCTTATGATTTTCGAAGGCAAAAGATGAGAACGTCCGGAGGACTGAGTGTCTGCGAGATGTGAAAACTCTGAAGGAACCCAAACGGTCTTCCAAACACGTCACCATCTCAAACATAACTTTGACTTTCGAGGATGAAAAATGCTTCCAAACCACCTTAGCGCCAGAAAAAATGGAGCCAAATATATGCGAAGCGATCGATCACAAGACCTCTGACGAAAAGACGGATTCTGAAAATACTGCTCTCAAGGCTGAAGAATCCAGGTATGTGAGGCGGGGCATGAGGGCGGCGTTCTAAGACTGAGAACAATGTTGAGTGCTGTGTCGTCTTTAAAGTCTGTGTGATTTGGGTGTTTGCAGGTACAGGAGCAGTAGCATTGAAGGATGAGGTAGCCAACCCTCAATCATCTGCCTGCAACTCAAACTTGGCTGATTTTTCTTTTCACGCCCACGTCTCTCTCCACCATTCAGTGGGCGTTCTGGGCTGCCTGATGTCACTTCTGTGGGCTCCAGGAAGGGCAGTCGTCTTGCCATGTTCACGTTTGGGTGGTGGTGGTCACAGTTGCTGTGTGCCCTCAAGGGGACCCCCAGTTACAGTGACTCTGTCAGGCAAAGCAGAACTGCCCGTATGTTTTCCAAGGGGGGCAACCTCTAAGGAAGCAGGCAGCTGCATCTTCCTCTTGGCGAGGGCTAGTGGGTTCAGATTGCCAACCAAGTGCTTAATCACTGGGTAACCAGGCCCTCTCCCTAAAGATTAAAAGCTCGTTGCCATGAAGTCGATGCTGACTCATAGCGACCCTGCAGGACGGAGTAGAACTGTCCGCTAGGAGTCCCGTGGCTGTGGTCTTTATGGAAGCAGACTGCCACGACTTTCTCCCACCGAGCAGCTGGGGGGTTCGAGTTGCTGACCTTTCTGTTGGCAGCCACCCACTTAACTGATGCCCCCCCCAGGACTCTTCCCCAAAGATAAGAGCCTTGAAGCTGTGAGGAGGCAGTTGTGCTTTGTCATACTGGGTTGCTCTGAGAACGCATCAACGCGGTGGCTGGCAGCCGGCTTTCATCCTGTCACGGGATCAGTCGCCAGGTCTTTTCTCTCTGAGAGCAGCCGAGTGCTTCATCGTGCCACAGGGCTCCTTATTGTGGAGTTCACGGTGTTTATCTCAAGAGGAGGAATTCTAGGTACTTTTTGTTACTATTTTTATTCATCTCTAAATTTCCAACTAATTGTGCAATCTGAAAAGCAGCCACGATTCCCACAGCTTAATTGCAAGCTGCACGAGAGAGCACAGGATGGTGACATCTAGACAGACATGCAGCAGGTCCTTCGGGGGTCACACCTGAGCAGGAGAAACAGAGGAGATGCTGAGGTTTGAGGGCTAATTATTAGCAAGAACAAAAATGAGGACTATAAAAAAATTATGTCTAAGTATTTTAAAGTAAATTAGAAAAAGAGTGGGCAGGATGAAAACTAAAAAGAAAATAAACTAGCAATTACTAAAATACTGAAAGTACTAAAAAGAACTTAGTTGATGCTTCAAAAAGAACAATGGCATTGTCAAACCACTAGGCAGTTATTTAAAATTAATGAAACTGGAAACTTAAAAGGAGTTACAGCAACTGTCAAATGTTACTGATACATATGTAGCTTTGCTTAACGTGGAAAATCTAAATTAAGTAAATGCAAAAATGCAGAGGCTCAATGGGCACAATCAGACATTGAAACTTGAATGGGACAAAGAATGATCAAAGAGGTCCCAAAAGAGAAAAAGTCTTTGTCCCAACTTTCACTAAACTCTTATTCGGATAGTCAAAGTTCTCCTATGTAATGTCCTCCAAATATGGAATTGGAGGGAGTGAAAAATCAAGTCTTCTTGTCCTAATTTTATGAAACAAATAATTTATCTGGATTGTTAAATGTAAAAAGAATAGAAGAATGCCTAGGTTAACCATATTGATGACAATAAATGTCAAGTTGTTGGAACTTTAGAAGGAAAAATTTAGCAAGCTTACTATAAATATAAAGGAAATATATAAATCATGTTCAACATAAATATAGAACAGAAAAAATCATGAGATTTTAGGCATACTTGGTCATTTTTTATATACATTCTTGATAAAGGCCCACAAAATCTATGGGTTACCTTTAGTGTGATAAAAATTACTTGCTCTAAACAAGAGTCTAGAAGTGTTCTGCTGAATGAATTGATGCGAGAAATGTTCTACTTAAAGCTAGAACAAATTCAGGATGTTCCCAAGAACATTTCTATTTAACATAATTTAGGAGACTCGAGCATTAGGGAGCCCTGGCGGCACAATGGGCAAGCACCCAGCTAGCTGCTCATGCAGAGAACGAAGGTTCAAAGCCACAACCACAGAAATGACTTGGCATTGAATGTAGGAAACGGAATGTAGCAGTGTTCGTCTGTACTCTTCGAGTCGTTAGGAGTCAGAATCAACATGATGGCACACAACAGAGTTGTAAGGATTAAATGATCTTTTAATAATACACAATACCTGACACATGATAATTATTCCCCCCAAAATGCTATTAGGTCCCAAAGCAACCCTATGTGCATCAGAACCAAACATTGCCCAGTGCTGGGCCACCCTCACAGTTGGTGCTGTGTTGGAGCTCACTGTTGGTCCACCCATCTCATTGAGCGTCTTCCTCTTTTTCGATGACCCTTTAGCAGGCATGATGTCCTTCTCTTGTGACTAGTCTCCCCTGATAACCTACCCAAAATACACAAGAGAAATGCTTGCCACCCTTCCTGCCAACACAGGAGTGTTCTGGCTGAACTTCTTCCAAAGCTCATTGGTTTGTTCTCCTGAAGTCCACGGGATAGTCAACGGTCTTCTCCAACACCATGCTTCAAAGGCATCGATGCTTGTTTGGTCTTCTCTAGTCATTGTCCAGGTTGGGCCAGGTACAACTCAGTCCTCAGAGAGACATGCTTGCTCGTGAACACTCTAAAACGTTTTTTGCTTGCTTGCTTACTTTTGCAGCATATTTGTCTAATGCAATATATCATTTGATTAGCTGACCACTGCTTCCATAGGTATTGATTATAAAGCCAAGTAAAATGAAATCTTTGACTACTTCAGTCTTTTCTCCATTTATCGTAATGTTGCTTATCTGTCCAGTTCTGAAGACTTCGTTTTCTTTATGGTGAGGTATAACCCCTACTGGAGGCTGTATAGTATAGTCTTTGGTCTTCATCAGTAAGTGCTTCAAGTCCTCTTTGCGTTCAGCAAGCAGGGTTGTGTTATCTGCATTTTATAGCTTGTTAATGAGTTATTTTCCCATCCTAATGACGTGTTCTTCCTTATATAGTCCATTTTCTCAGATTATTTGTCAGTATACACACTGAATGAGGAGGGTGAAAGAATAAGACACTGACTTACACCTTTCTTGATTACAAGCATGCACTATTCCCTTGCTCTGTTCTTGGTCTGTGTCCAGGTTCCACATGAACACAATGAAAGTTTTTCTATTCTTCCCAGTGTTATACGTAGTTTGTTATGAGTCACGTAGTCGAATGGCTTTGCATAGTCAATAAAACATTAGTAAATATCTTTCTGGTATTCTGTTTTCAACCAAGATCCATCTAATATCAGTGGTGATATCCTACATTCCACATCCTCTTCTAAATCCAGCTTGAATTTCTGACAATTGCCTCTCGATGTATTGCTGCAACCATTTTTTAAATTATCTTCAGCGTAACTTTACTTAATGAGTGCTTTATAATTTCGACATTCTGCTGGATCACCTTTCTTTGTAATGGGCAAAAAGTATGGTCAGTTGACCGGGTAGCTGCCTTCCAAATTTGTTGGGATAGGTCAATGAGATCTTCCAGACTTGCATCTGTTTTTGAACTATCTCAGTTGGTATTCCACAAATCCCGGCACCTTATCTTTTTGCCAATGCCTTCAGCGCAGCTTGGACTTTCTCCTTCACAAACGTCAGTTCTGGATCACATGCTCTCTCGTGATATGGTTGAACTTCAGCCAATTGTCTTTGGCTCAGTAACTTTGTGTTCTTTCCACTTTGTTTAAAGTTACATGTATCCTTCAATATTCTGCCCATAGAATCCTTCAATACTGCAATTTGAGGATTGAACATTTTTTAAAATTCTTTAAGCTGGAGAAATGTTGAGCATGTTTTTCAATTTTGGTTTTCTAACTCCTGATCTTTGCATATTTCATTTTAATATTTTGTCTTCCGAGTCGCCCTTTGAAACCTCTGTTCATCATTTTACTTCCTCATATTTTCCTTTCACTTCAGCTGTTCTGTGTTCAAAGGAACATTCAAAGTCTCTGCTGATAGCTTTTGGTGTTTGTTTTCCTTCCCAGTCTTACCAATGATCTATTAGTTTCTCCATATGTGACATCTTTGATGGCATTTCCTTCCTAGTCTGGTATCCGATGATGAGTGTTTAATTCAACAAATTTATTCTTGAGACGGCCTCTAAATTCAAGTGGAATAGACCTAAGATTGGATTTTGACTCTTTGGGCTCGTTATAATTTTCTTCAGCTTCAACTTGAGCTCGCATATGAATAATGGGTGCTCTGTTCGACAGTTGGCCCTGGCCTTATTCCGACTGACGATACTGAGCTTCCCCTTCCTCTCTGTCAGCAGACAAGGTGAATTTGATTGCTGTGTATGCCAGCTGGTGAGCTCCACATGTAGAGTCAGTTTGTGTTGTTGAAAAACAGTTGTTTGCAAAGAATGAGTAATTAAAAAAAGAAATCATTGGTCTTGCCAAAGTCTATCCAGGGACTTGTGGAATCATTTCTATCACTAAGGCCATATTTTCCACTGTACATATATGTACAATAAAACAAAGCAAAAACCAAATTTTGGTTCTAGGAGGTAATCCTCTTCAGCCCCAGATAATCAACTATCTGTTCCTTTTCACTGCCTACTTGCATCTGGAACATCATTACTAGCTAGAATCTAATTTGCGGGTGTTGATTACGAACAAAAGATGTGATATGTAAGAACAGAAGGGAATGCACTGACGTTTTATTCCTGCAACATTAACAGGGTTTCAGTCGGGATACTTCGAGGTTGATAACTACGCTCTCTGATTGTGTTGATTCTCCAAGGTCAAGAGCCTCAGTGGCACTTAGAGTTGCGTGCTTGGGAACACGAACAAAACAGCTGAACCATGACCCCATTACGCATTCTGCCCTCTGCTTCTCTAGTCTTTAAAATGTAAGTTGCGCAATTTACATCTGGAAGACAAAGACGATGAAGACGTCAACTTCTCTAAAGTCATAATAGGTCCCTTGAAGGGAAGGATTTACTTTATGAAGCATTTATAGTTCTTATATCTTGACAAGTGCCACTGCGACTCTTCATTTAAAGAGAGTAACGCCAACCTTCATTATAACTTGCCTCTATTTGTAAAAGTAATCTTACTTGACATTTCTTAGCCTCATGAAAATGTTTACCATGCAGCTTAACCTTCATTGAAATCATCAGACCCCTTTGGTGCAGGAGGCTACTTGAATAGTTGGAATCCCTGGGTGACACAAACTGTTTTGCATTTGGCTGGTAGCCAATTGATGATGGCGCTGGCCCACCCAAAGTGCCTTGGAAGAAAAAAGCCTGGCAACCCACTTCTGAAACCTCAGCCGTAGAAAACCCTGTGGGGCACAGTTCTACTCTGATACATGTAGGGCCACCGTGAGGCGGCGTCGACTCAGTGACAACAGTAGATGATTATTTACTCGCAAGTAGCGATGAGAACTGCTAATTTAGCATATACTCTCTGGGACATGCCTTGGAGAACTTGAACTGGATGGGTTTACTGGACCCCTTAAAGTAGATCATGATTGTGCCATTCTGAATTTATCTGAGAGGGTAACATCTAAGGGTACTTCTTCTCAAACGCTCTTTTATTAAAACAGCATGATTTCCAAAATGTGTATTAAAGGTGCAGCCACATTAAGTTACTTAATTAAGTAAAAGTAAGTTATCCTACGTTTATGAAAATTAAGTTACCCAATTTTACATAAAACAAAAATTAAGTTCCTTATGCTTATGGTTTAGCAAGCCCGTGAAGTTAAGAACATATTGCTAATTTGCTACTAAAGTTGTAACGTCAAGAGTGCAGAAAAATGAACTTCTTTAGGCAAAGATAAATTTCCTATTAGCAAAAGGGCAATAGCCTTTTGAATCGATGAACCCGTTTCCCCTCCTGTCTCTAAGACGTGCAGTAAGCTGGGCAAACACTTTGGTAATGTTGTTCCTTTGCGAGGCTTCCAAGTGCCTGCTGTCCAGCAAGGCCGCAGACATGGGTGGGGGGTGAGGGAGAAGTGAGGAGTGGTGGCAATGACTGTGAGCCCCAGGCATCTCCCCAGAAATTTCTCTAGACCTCTAAGAGAACCTACATCATCAAAGTAAGTCCCTGAAGTAGCAGCACTGAATGCTGAAGTTTTCAGGGGTGAGGGAGGCCGTAGAGATGACGGTCACATTGAGTGACCGGTGATAGATACACTAAAATAGGCTCTATGCACCTTAGGACAGTCCACTTCTATGGCTTTCATAGATCGATTGATTTGCATGTTACACAATGTGGGTGATTTCGCTCTACTACGTAATCTAGCGGATAGTATCCTAAGCTTGGTAACCACGTTTCACTACTAACCACAAAGCATTTAGAGAATGGCTGTTCTCTCAGACCTAGTAATCCTTTTCTAAATCTCCCTGGTGACGCGGGCAAAAATACTGAGATGTGCTGTTTATTTTCACAGGAGCATGAGGACTTACTCAGACATTTCAGGTATGGAAGACATTCCACTACACGAGTCCTTGCGATCCCTGGGATCCAGCAGTCAGCTTGGGTCTGTGGAATAGAGGAGTTCAGAGCAAAGGAATCCAGCAAACTTTTTTTCGTGCATTCCTTTCCCTGCCTGTGCACCCTTCTGGGTCCTGCACTGGGGAAACGCTGTCCTCAGACTCTCCATAGGCATCGTTTTCTTCGCCGGCGGAGTCTAGCCTCCTTTCGAGTTCCTTGGCTCTAGCTTCCCAGACCGGACCAAGCTCTGCCGTCAAGCCACAGCACCAGTGGGGCTCCAGGCTTGCCGCTTTGCAGCTAAATTTCCTGTAAACCTGAAACCATCTGGCCCCTCTCTTCTTCCAAGGGTGGTTTCTGCCTCACCAGCCAGACGCCGTTCAACGCTTTCCTTTCCTTCTTCCCATAGCCTTCAGGGAGCAGGAGCTTGCACTTATGTAAATGTCAAGGTGGTTTTATAGGTGACTAGGCAGCTCTACTGCGGCTGGCTGCTAACCCTCCTCTAAGTGACTATCTGAACAATAGATGGCATCGGCTGCAGCTCCACCCAGGTACATAATGAGCATTATGGAAGGCACAGAGGGACTTCTAACTGGACTTCAGTAGAGAGAAAAAAATCATTGTTTTCAATGCGAAGGACCCTTGGAAGGTCACAGTTAGGCGCTGGGCTTGGATCCACAAGGTCAGCAGTTTGGGACCCCCAGCCACTCCGTGGGAGAAAGACAGGACTTTCTGTACCTACAAAGAGCCACAGTCTTGGAAACTCGCAGGAGCAGTTCTACCCTGTCCTATAGGGTGGCTAGGAGTTGGCATGGACTCGATGGTAGTGAGTTGCGTTTTGTAAGAATTCACTGCCAACAAGTCAATTAACACTCATGGCAACCCTATAGGACAGGGTAGAACTGCTATTGTGGGCTTCTGCGGCTGTAACTCTACAGGAAATAAAAACCCTCAGCTTTTTCCTGGGGAGCAGCTGTTGGTTTCAAACTGCTGACCTTGTGGTTAAGAACCCAACATATCATGCACTATGCCACCAGGGCTCCTGACCTTGAAAAAGTCCTACCAAAAAAGTAATGATTATAGTATAGATTCTCATACGAGTGGGATTTGTCTTTGGGCCTTTCTGCTGGACTTCGCTTCCCAAAGTACCCAGTGAGCTTCACTGAGGGTCATTTGCCAGTGTTCCACTCTACCTCAGAACGTTGTAAGAAAATACCACTGTCTAGAAGAAAAACACTTTGCCACTTAACAGTGTGTTCCTCCATCTCGACTCCAAGTACTTTATCACAAAGAAATCCAACTGAATCTGAAGAAATAAAAAAGATCCCAATATAATCAAAACGTTTCCTCTGACTTGCTAATGGTAAGGATAAATCTAGTGGCGATATTATTACAAAGATTGCACATGGCTAATTTATTAGTACATTCTGTGTACATGCTGAGGCCCTTGGTTATTTACCTAGGAAAACTTAACATGGATGTAGAATGTTGAATATTGTTATCTTTACCTATTATGTAACTGTTTCTTACAGTTATCTTTTAATTTCAAAGCATGTTTTTTTATGAAATACTGTGGCAGGCTCTGGGAGAGGTAAAAAGATAAATAAGACATGCTAGCTGGCCTCAACACATATGCACCAATAACACAAATCATCATGTAATAGAGGTACTTTAAGAGAAAAGCAGAGAGCTTCTTTTAGCTCAGAAGAGAGAATTGGGAGAGACGTTATGGAAGAGATGGCCATTGAGTTTGGAAAAGCGATGAGGAGCTCCTGGATGGAGTAGAGAATGATGAAGCAACATCAAAAGATGGAGGAAGTGCTGGGCCGTTCGCAGTAGCCAGACTGAGAAAGCTAAGCCGGGCCACATGATGGAGGTCTTGGGCCATACTCCGTTAGGATACCACTGTTGCTAGTTAATAGAGAGCCACTGAGAGACAACGGAACAGCAAAATCTGTAGTATGTTTAGAAAGAATTACTTTGATTACAATCCTAAGAGAAGCTGGAGGAAGCGAGAGATTGGGAGACCAGTTAGGACGCCATTATAATCATCCAGGAGGCGGGTGCCAAAATCCTGATCCAAGGGAGAAGCAGTTAAACCAGAAACAGGTGCACGAGAACAAAATCAAACCAGATAGATTGATCAACTCCCCGTGAGAAGAGAGGGCAAAGCGGCAATTAGGAGTTGCCGAGTTAAGAGACGACATGGCTGGGAGGGATTGAGTCCATGAAACAAGCTGGGAAAGGAAAATGAGGACATTTGGAAGGTAACGATGAAGAAACCAGCACTTAAATGTTCAACTTAGAATATCAGGCAGAGCCCCGGCCAGTCTTTCCCTCACTCCATCAGCTGCTCGCCTGTAAGAGAAAAGCTCCGTGGGCCAGGCTTTGGCAACATGCCCACCTCTTGGCTCCGTGGGCAGAGCACTCGTCTTGGAAAAGGGCCCTTGAGGACGCTCCGCTCTTGAGAGGTGAGGGAAACCATACACTTGCTGGGTTTCGTGGATTTGTCCTTCTTCTCTGAGGACCTCAGTGTCCTCGCCTCCAAAATGTGTGTGTGCGTAGCTGCGGGCAGGGTTAGCTGTCCTTAGGCCCTTTCTGCTGAGGTGTTTCAGGTCCTGCCCACCCACCTTTGAAAATCTAGCAGGCATTTGAAAAGGGGCTCTGAGAATTAGGAGTCAGGTTACCATACGGCAAATGTTCAGCAACATCCCACCACAAACCTCTTAGATCCCAAAGCTGGCACAATAAGACGAACTTGCCATGCAGTTGTCCACAGCGTATTAATTATGTTTCCTGTTTGTTTCCTTCACCTACTTTCGCATTCTTTTTATCTGCCTTCCCCTTCCCTTCCCCCTTGTCCTTAGGCTTATATAGTTTTTCCGTCTTTCCCTTGATTAGCATTTCTTTCCCCCTCTTCACTCTCTAATCATTCCTGTCCCCCCTTTCCTATTCTCCTACTCACACTTAGGCCCAGAGCCCCAAGGAAAGCGCAGAGCAGCAGACTGTGCATCTCCTTCCACTGAATTCAGACTGAGTGGAGACAAGAGACAAGCCTGCCTTTCTGGCTTCAATTCTAAGCAGAAGCCAGAGTCTTAACTGCCACCACTGCAATCAAATGAGCCCAGGCACCCTGCGCTCGCCAGCTCCTAGGCACTGCTAGTTGGGACCACCAACTCTAATTCGCCTCTTAAAGCTCTCCGTGGTTTGAAAGGGTTACACCCGTTCTTTTAAGCAATGTGTTGGGTACGTGGCACTTTAATGCACTGATTTATGAACACTGTGAGGCAGGATCCAAGCTAAACTCTTTCTCTGGAACCGGGCCTGTCTACTTGGACTTTTCCATTTCTTACCTTTCTAGGCTTTGTTCTCGCTAACTTTTCTGATTCTTTTAAAGTCAACCTGCATGGGATTTTCTAAGCGGGACCTAACGGAGACAAAGGATAGAGATTCAAGAAAAGAAGGGAAAATAATCTTTGAAACACTGGGAATTTCCTCTCACCCATTTTCCTCTTCTTCCCACTGAACTGTTTACAAATTAAATTTCTTGGACTCCTAAGTAGCCAGGTTTATTCTCTGTTTACAAAACCCAGGCATAAAAAACATCAACGGGTGGAGGGGAACTGGTTGATGACATTTGACAATAAACCTCATCGGAAAGAAGAGAGAGATTTTTGGTGAGGTGGTTAGAGCATCATTTGAATGTAAGACCCAAATTAAATACTCTCTCCTTCTGTGCTTTTTCTCTCCTGCTTTTGTCTTTGCTGTTTCTATCTCAATCCCCTTTCTCACTTCCATTCTCCCCACCTTCTCCCCACCAGCTGTCATCCCTAACGTCTAATCCTCTCCTTACTCCCTCAAACACATGCCTCGACTGTCCCCCCCCCTTTCTCAGGAGATGCGTGTGATGGTAGACAAAGGTGATGAAGAAGCATGTAAGACAAGATACAGGTAATTTTTAAAAAAATTATGTCTCTAGAGCCATAAAAAATGTCAATAAATTGACTCTCTTAACATGGAATCATATCTATGAGAGTAATTCTAAGGATACCTTCTTGTAGGAAAAGATACAGGAAAAGTGTCATTAATCATGAAAGGTCGCCACTCTAGGTGACTGCTCTAGGATTTATTATGGGTCAAAGTATGATGTCAGCAGAGGGGTCCAGAAGGGAACAGGGGTGAAGGCGCTGGGAGGGACTGGCACCCCGCTGCTTCCTTCACGCTCAGCACTGCTTTCTCCTCCCTACCCTTCCTCTTTGTGGCTCACCCAAACTATCCCCAACCGGCTCTCTTGGATTAGTGGACACAGCCAGGGCTGCTCTCTGCCTTGATATTTCTAGAGTGCCCACAGAGCTGCCATGTGCGGTTCATTGTTGAGCTTGCACAGGACAGAGCCTTGGGCACCCGGTTTCCAGTGTGGCCCGTGTGCAGTTCGCAACCTGCACAACGCTGTGTAGCAGTCCTGCCCACCCATGTTCCAGTTTTCTCTGAGATACCAGCGTGGCCTTGGGTTTCAAAGAATGCCACTTCTTTCCTTGATGGTAGCAGCAACCAGAGGCCCAGAAACAGTAGGAGCAACAACAACAACTTTTGACCATTGTGTCCATGACCGGGCTAAAAGGCTGGTTCTTCTCTTGGACAGTTTCCTCTTGATAGCTAATGCTCTGTATGTGTGTGTGTGTGTGTGTGTGTGTGCACATGTGTATGGGTGTTTGTTGAGGGGGATAATTTCACAGAAATGCAGTGAAGTGATGAATCAGGAACCACTTGACCAGGTCATCAGGGCCCTGCTGACTGAGGAGAGACCCTCGTGCCGTTACATTGCTCTCCTGTGTGTGAGAGACCGTTCCTCCGGCCTGCCTGTGGTGGTCTGCACACCTCCTGGTTCATGGAGGGCAAGAACACTTGTTTCGGAACAAGACCCTCGAGATGCTCACGGGGACAGGAGTGGGAAACAAAGCAGCCAAAATGTCTCACCGTGCACACTGCCCAGTCTGTACCTGTGCTTCCCCATTTCCTTTCGCCCTGCTCGGAACATCCCCTTTCGCTTGCTCTGTGGAGTTGGACAGGGATGTGGTAGCACAGGGAGTGTTTTGACATCCCTCCAGGGAGGGTCTGGAGTGTCCCAATGTACTCTAAAAGTTGTACAGAGAGAAATTCCATTACAGATAGCCTAGCATTGTATAATGATTTCCTCTTTGGACTAGTATATTCTGTAACAACAGAATTTCAAATACTGAAGTCTCATGAAAAGAGGAGAGAGCCACATATGCAAAGAATGGTAAGAATGTAACTCTGAATAGGAGTTGGAAGGCTGGTCTTTCTCCCGAGGAGCAGCTGGTGGTTTCCAACTGCTGACCTTGTGGTTCACAGCCCAACCTGTAGCCACTACGCCACCAGTTGGCACTAGAATGGTAAGAATGATGATATTTTAGTTAAGAGGTATGGATGGAGACAGATATACTGTCCTTATTTCCGGAAATGTAAAAAGTGGTTTCCAACTACACACATTGTGAATTGTTGATTTACACAGGAAGGAGAAGATTTTTTGTTTTTGTCTTAAAGACACGCATAATGAGCTTCTCCAAAGTCTTCTTATTACTACAATTAACATGCTGTGCAAATCATCTGGGTCTAGAAACACTGAGCGTGTTATGGTGTGTGTAAGTTTTGAGGTGTGGCTTTTACCTGTACAGAATCTTAAGCACAGATTAAGAAGTTCCAAATAATCTGAGCAATGACATGTAGATATGCCTTAAAGAATGAAAGCCTTTTTATTAGTTCTTTTATTTAATCTTCATATTGGCATCTTGAATTCCTGGGCTCCTACGGAAGATAAATACCTGTCATGAACCAAAATTTTAAGAAATTAAAGGTTCCCTTAATTATGCTTCAAATTCTACATTTAAAATATGATGTTGTATGTCCAAAGGAGGTTTACTATTGTTTTAAATAGAAACACTATTATAAAAGAAAAGTAATTTAACTTTTTTATTGCTAATTTTTCTCATATTTTTTTCATATTTTGTTTTTAAGAGTGTTTTATACTTAACAGAAATAACTTTCTAAACATTTTGTATTTTAGACACTTGACAAAATGGAACTCAGTTCTCCACCTTTTCTTTCTCTTCTCTCGTTCTATCTCCTTGTTTGCTCAGATAATACGCAGTAAGGTACTGAAAGACAAGCAGGCTGAGGGAGCGGACACCAACCACCCTAAGGGGTAAACAAAGCAGCATCTTCCATGTGGCAGAAATAAAGGCTAATTCTAAATAAAGGCTAATTCTGATCACTGAATACTTTAAGTAAATCTAACTTCTTAAATCTTAAGTTTTGGTTTGTGGAAATCTATTTTAAAGTAAGCTAGAGGACTGTCTGTAACGTCTCAATCGTGGGAGACAACACTGGAGACACAGTGTGGGAATTGTGCCTGATCTGACCCCACCACACCGAGGGGAAACACTAAGGGTGTGCAGCAGAACAGCAAGGAGGGCAGAGCAATGCAGTCCCTAGGGAATACCAAAAATAGACTTTGGGGCCAGGGTGTGGCACCCCGTCAGATTTGACTGGAAAGCACCCCTAAAGGTCAACAAACAGACCTTGAACTATTTATAGGCTTTTCTATGTTTTTGTCATTGTTTTTTTTCCTTTTTCTTTTTTTTACTTCCCCCAAGGAGGTGCACCGTACCTGGAAGTACTGCAATACCAAGTCGATGTGTGGAGTGGACGGAGCAAGCTCCTATTCTATCTCCCTGCTCCAAAAATCCATTTAATATATTGTCTTTGGATAGAGGACATATCAGATATTAAACTGATCAGAACAGATACTACACTTGATCTTAGCCGAAGGGATTGTCATTGGTTTTTTGTTGTTGTTTTATTTTCTTTTGTTGCTTTGTTTTGCTCTGTCTTGCTCTTTGCATATTATTATGTCTGCATGTCTATCTAGATAAGATAGGCAGGATAAACAATCTGGAGGAGGAAACAACAGGACTGACAGTTCCGGAGAGACATGGAAGAGGGGGATGTGTGGGGAAAGGAAGTGGATGTTAACAAATCCAGGGACAAGGGAACAACGAGTGATCTAAGAGTGATCTAAAATCGGTGGTGAAGAGGGTGTAGGAGGCCTAGTAGGGCTTGATCAAGGGCAATGTAACCAAGAGGAATTAGGTGGAGGGAGGGTGGGTTGGAAAGGGGAACAGAGATTACAAGGATCTATATATAACCTCCTCCCTGAGGAATGGACAACAGAAAAGTGGGTAAAGGGAGACGTCGGACAGGGCAAGATAAAAAATAATGACTTGTAAATTATCAAGGGTTCATGACGGGGGAACGGGGAGGGAGGGGAAAAAATGAGGAGCTGATGTCAGGGGCTCCAGTGGAAAGCAGATGTTTTGAGAATGATGATGGCAACAAATGCGCAAATGTGCTTGACACAATGGATGTAT